GGCACAATCTCAGCTCACTGCAACCTCCGCCTCCCGGGTTTAAGCAATTCTCCTGTCTCAGCCTCCTGAATAGCTGAGACTACAGGTGCGCACCACCATACCCAGCTAATTTTTGCATTATTAGTAGACATGGGGTTTCACCATGTTGGCCAGATGGTCTCAATCTCTTGACCTTGTGATCCGCCCACCTCGGCCTCCCAAAGTGCTGGGATTACAGGCGTGAGCCACTGCGCCCGGCCCAGAATCATCTTTTTATTAAGGTTGCTGACATTAACTAGGAATAGTAGGTAGAGTAAGAAAGTAAGACAGTCTAGTATCTTTGGAGTTTCAGTATTTTTATGTATTATATTGTTATAAATTCACAATAACTATAAATTAGGTAGAACAAGAAATGAGGTTTGGAAAAGATACTTGACTTGTCCAACCATCTGTACTTGTCCCATAGTAAGTAGCCTCAAGCAGAGACAAAAGAGGAAGTTGCCTATCTTGTATGGTTTATGGGTCATAAATGAATGTCATCTCTTTCCTTCCCTGGGGAAAAATGTCTCAAAAAATCCAACTATAAGACATAACATCTCCAGGACCTCTATTACAAAATACACATTTCCTGCAGCGGGTGCAGAGCCAGGATCGCACCATTGCATTCCAGCCTGGGCAACAGAGTGAGACTCTGTCTCAAAAAAAAAAAAAATAAATAAAACCAATAATACAAATAAAAACAATACAGTATAACAACCATTTATATAGCACTACTTATAATACTTAAGCATTATAAGTATAATTAATATAAGTATCTTATAATACTTAAGTATTATAGGTAATCTACAGATGATTTAAAGTACATGGGAGCATATATATAGGTTATACGTAAGCATTATGCCATTTTATATCAGGAACTTGAACATCTGAAGAGTCTGGTATCTGTGAGGGATCCTGGAACCAATACCCCATTGACATGGATATTGGATTTCCTTCAATAGACCTTGATTACTTGTTTGGATATGGCAGCAGGGAAGAACAGCTATGACTATCCTTGGCCTTCTCTGAGAAATTCTTTTGATGAAAGATGTCTTTGATATCTTGTTTTTTCTTTTTTTGAGATGGAGTCTAGCTTTGTCGCCCAGGCTAGATAGAGTACAGTGGCATGATCTCAGCTCAAGGAAACCTCTGCCTCCCAGGTTCAAGTGATTCTCCTGCCTCAGCCTACTGAGTAGCTGGGATTACAGGCACCCAATACCACATCCAGCTAATTTTTGTATTCTCAGTATAGATGGGGTTTCACTATGTTGGTCAAGTTGGTCTCGAACTTCTGACCTCAAGTGATCCACCCACCTTGGCCTCTCAAAGTACTGGGATTATCGATAGGAGTGAGCCACCATGCCTGGCCAGATGAAAGATGCCTTGGGATGGGCATTCACTGAGTTATGAACTGAGCTAAAAGATGTGCTGACAGCTGTCCCAGGAAGAACACCCTCATAGCCAGACATGCTTCTCATGCCATGAGAAGATCTGTCACTGAACTTGAGGTGACTTCTCTAGTCCCATCTCCAGCATCACACCTTTCTTTCTGCAAGGCCTGAAATGTGCAGGCAGGCTCATGTTTTGTGATAAAACAGCTTATATACATGCAAAATTTTAATAAAAAGAGTACCTGAGATCTCTCTCATGATAGGATTGAACTTAGGACCAAACAATTTGGGAGTCAGAAGAAATGAAAAGATTATTAGGTATAAATACTTTAATTTAACGCGTGAGGAAAAATAAATCCAGAGGGGTAAAGTAACCATCAGCAGGGTCACTTCAGGGTAAAATTTCCTAACTCACTCCAGTGCCCTTTACCATCTTGATCCATCTCAAATTAAAATGTGTGTATAATAATAGACAGAAATTAAGCCTCATTTGTTTCCATATGGATATTCAGTTGCCCAGCATCCTTTGTTGAAAATATTTTCCTTCATTGTTTTGTCAAAAATCAACTGACTGTATATATGTGGATCTATTTCTATAACCACTATTCTGTCTCATTGTGTTTATTCTTACACCAAATACCATTGTCTTGATCCCCGATGCTTTAGAATAAGTCCTTAAATCAGTCAGTGTGACTTGTCCAACTTTGTTCTTCCTTTTCAAATTTGTTTTGGCTGTTCTAATTTCCTTGCATTTGTATTATTTGCATTTGCATTTTATTTCCATATAAATCTTGGAATCAATGTATCAATTTCTACAAAAAAAAAAAAAACTTGCTGGGATTTGATTGAGACTAGGTTCAATCTATAGATCAACTCGGGAAGCTCTTTATCATCTTAGTCTGCAGTTCCCCTCTTCTGTGGCCATCAAAGGAGTCATCCCTCTGAAACAACAGAAAGGACTGGGAGAAGAGATGGAAACTCTAACGCTGGCTACAGGGACCTCTGAGACACATGTCATATTTACTCCAAGGCAGACTTTCCAATGGTCCCTGTAAGTCACCCAAGGAGAATGATTCTGATTTATTCAGAGAATTCAGAGGAGGAAACTACTGTACACTGAATAAAATTACTCCTGTTTAAAACCTCTGTTTCATAAAAAGAATTCCCTAACAGCATCCAAGTCATTTAAAAAATCCTCGTAGCCCTGTGCATATTGCTGTACAGACCAAAGGAAATTATTTATTAATTCCTGCCTTTTCTCCCACAGCAGCACCATCTTACCAGGTATGTTCCTAGTTCCCCAATGAAAGAGAGCTGTGTTTCCTTCAATAGACTGGGGGCCTCAGGAATGAAAGAACCATGTGTTTTTCAAGCAGCGCATAATGTCTAACTGTGATAGATTTAATCATTGTTCAGCAACTATTCATTCTCCTCTCCTAACCTTCATAGGAGGTATTGCTGCCTCACTGATGTTGGCTTGGCCATGTGACTTGTTTTGGCCAATGAGAGGATAAAGAATATGACAAAAGCAAAGACTTGAAATGCACTTGTATGGTAGATTTTGGATTCTTTCATTCCTGCCTTTAACTATAAATGTGCCTGAGATGGCTTCAGGTCAAGAAGGATAAGAGACATGGTAACAGATCTAGACCCAATCTGTAGCTCAAAGCCTAGTTCTACCAAGCTCAGCCAAGATCAACTGAACCCTAGATACTTAAGCAAAAAAAAATAAATGCTTACTGTTTTATATCACTGAGTTCTGGGTGTTTTGTTACACAGCACTAGGGTGGTAACAGCTGACTAATATACTGTCAAAATCGAGAATTCAGTATATACCCAATTTCTATTTCAACATCTCCCTATAGATCTGATGAGTTTGAGAAATTTATGAAAAATAAATCACAAGGTCCAGTGCTCAAATGGAAAGGATGATAAAGAAGCCAACTGTGGTGTTTCCAGAAACCATTCTTCATATGTTAGTACTGAGAGGGCTGGCTTCTTGCTGACCTAAGGACTGCACATTTACACTGCAAGGCAGAAAACAGCCCTCTGTCAACCTCAGCCCCACAAGCCCCACAGCCCTTTCCCTCACCTGTTCAGAAGTTTTGTAAAAGGCCACAGAGGCATTGACCAGTTTTAGCCGGTCTTCCATCTTCAGCATGAGCTGCTGCCAGTGGAGGGCCACCTTCTCAGCACATTCCCGGATGGCATCGGCATCGTAGTGGCCAGCCTGGAGCAGCACCTCGGCTTTCTGCTGTACCTGCAGGGCGCTCTGGTGCGTCTTCTGCAAGGAAGTGGCATGAAAGAGGGACTGGGCACAAGGGGAGGAGAGAAAGGTCCGTGGGAACAACCCAGGCGTGGTATGGGAGGGGGTGGAGTGAGGCGTGAGTGGAAAGATGCAGAGAAGTTAAAGAGCTTTAAATGATTGATCCATGTTGTCATGACCATTAATACATTATTTTTAAACATATTAAAAAATCATACATTTTTATTAGCTAATTTCTCACGACCCTAACTCCTGTCCCCATTTCTTTTTCCTTGCAGCACTCTAGATTTTAAGGACATTTCAGTTTCTATAGTAGAGAAACAGAAGTTATGTATCAATCTGCTCCCTAATTGGTTCATAAATTAAATTTCCTTTACAAATACAATAAAATTGTACATTGAGTTTTCACAGGAGGTTACTACCACAGTCCCATTTTATAGATTAAGTATAGGCAGCACATGAAAAGAAACCACGTAACACAAATCTCAGCTGACAATGCAATCATTTAAAACATTAATAATCAGTTGAAAAGGATTCCAGCTGAAGGAATAAATTTGGCAGGTTAATAAAACTAGAGAGTAACCTCCTTACATTATCCCTTAATTATTTACCAGGAGGGCACAAAAGTGCAGGAGAAAATTCACCTCAGTGTTATTTACATAACCCTTAAGGAGTTATATATATATAATTCCATATATATATATATGTAGAAGGTCTATTTTTTTTTCTTATCTTTTGTTTTTTTTTTTTTGAGACAGGGTCTTGATCTGTCACCCAGGCTGGAGTGCAGTGAAATGGTGCAATCGTGGCTAGATGCAGCCTTGAACTGGGCTCAAGAGATCCTCTTGCCTCAGCCTCCAAATAGCTGGGTAGCCGGGACTACAGGTGTGTGTCTCTACACCTGACTAATTTGTTACTTTTTGTAGAAATGGGGTCCTGCTGTGTTGCCCAGGTAGGTCTCGAACTCCTGGCCTCAAATGATCCTCTGGCCTCAGCCTCCCAAAGTGCTTGGATTACAGGCAAAAGCCACAACAGCTTGCCAGAAGTTCTTTTTAATGCTTTCTGATTTAGGCTAAATATGCTATGTGTTCTCTGAGTTTATATTAACTGTAGGAGGTGGGGAGAACTAGGGTGTCAGGGAGAGAACCAAATGGAATTAAGATTTACTAAGACAAAATACTGACGTGGATGATTCTATGAGAATGTTAAAGTTCTAATGACTTGAAAGAACTACTATCATTCCAACCTCAACTGTTGGGACTGTTCCAGACTAATGGTATAGTACTAATTTGGCCTTTGCACTTTGAGAAAATGATAGTTCAGCTGACAGTGAAAAAGAACAGCTAGAACTCAGTAACTTACTCCAGAATTATTTTCTACCCTTCTTCTTGGGCAGCAATTCTGGACAGTTCCCAAGAGCTAATCCACTCTGCACTCCCTGTGTCCAAGCACAGCCTCACTCATTTTCACCTATGCCTCTCCCTGATTCCCACCATGATGGCCCCTCACCCTCATTCCAGATTGCAGTCTACACATTCTCATTTATCTTCTCCAGTCTATCCCCCACCTCTGGCTTCTCTTCACTCTCTCCTGAATCTGTATTCAGAGTTAGCAATGTTAGCATGACCTCCTCTTACGACCTAGACTCCTTCCTTGCCTGCCTTTCCACTAAGTCAGCCCTCAATCCTGATGACCACATCAGCATTTGGGTTCCTAATTGCTGAATGCAGCTAGAGACAGTAAGCTAGTGGGTAGAAATGATCCACTACAATCCCTGGTTTTCTTTCTTTGTCTTACTTATTGGCATGATTTTCTTTTCCTGTCTCCTAAATGTAGAGGTATCAAGGTCAGCTCTCCCACCCCTCCCACCCACTGCTGCAGAGCTTTCATCTACTCCCTTGGTTTCTATTATCTTCTCTTTGCAGATGATTCCCCAGTCTATGTCTCTTGTCTGACATCTGACTCTCTTCTTTAGTTGCTCTCAGATGGAAGAGTGAGTTGCCTGCACAGATCTCGCCCTAGTGAGCAGCACTGATTCAGTTGATTTAGCTGTCTGTCCCATGTCAGACTGGCAGAAAGATGCATTCTGTAAAAGTGACCTTCCTGGAGAGAGGAGGGGCCTTTGCCAGTGAATGGGAAGGGCTTCACTGCTCTATTAGAGCCTCTACCTCCCCCAGACAGCTTCTCAAGTTCCACAGCTGAAACTAAACTCCTCCTCTCTTTAAAACAGTTTTCCCATGGTAATCTGCCACTTCTGTTGGCACTCTCCTCTCTCCTCCTAGGATTACAATCTTGACATCATTCTTGCTTGCCATTCCCCTCTCCCCAATCCCAGCCCAGCCCTCACCACTTTATACACAGACTGTTGTGGTGATGACCTAATGAGTCTTCTTGCCTTCCATTTCTAATCCAAAAATTCATTCTTGACATTTTTAACAGATCCCTTTAATTCTCTGTAATGGAAAGTGCTAGCATTATGTAACTTCTAACATCTTTTCCAGTTCTAAAACTCTCATTTTATGCCATAAATGTCACTAACTTCTCTCAATTCAAGTCTTCAGTGGTCTTCCCATTGCTAGTCCAAACTTTGGAGGCTGTCATTAAAAGGCCCTCATTACAACACGGTCCCACACTACGTCTATAACATGACCACCAATTAGTTCCTTACAAAAACCCTTTGAAAACACACCATGTACTTCCTTGCTTTTGCTACCTTCATTCTTCCTGCCTTTAATAAATGTCCCAAGTCTCTCCCCATATATGTTCCAGCTTTCCTTTGAGGCTCAGCTCAAGTCTACCCTCCTTGGATGAGGTCTTTCCAGACAGCCTGAGACTCACAGTAAACCACCCTCTTCTGAACTTCTATGTCACTCATCTAACACTTGGCTGATTCTCCTTACTTAGACTGTGACACTCAAGGCAAGGATGGTTTGAAAAATCATAAGCACTGTGCCTCTATGCAGATATTTTCTAGTTCTCTCAACATGACTACAAGGTGGATATTATCATTCCCATTTCACAGACTAAGAAACTGAGGATCAGCTGGCTAAGTGACTTGCTCAAACACGTACAACCCAAAGAAGTAATGAAACCAGAAATAAGACTCATATTTGACCCATCTCCAAACCTGTGCTCTTTCCATTATATCACATCATTTTATCTCTAGCAATTAGAACAGTACCTATAGTATCTCATTTAAAGGAAGGGTTCACCAAATGAACATTAACAATTATAATTATCTGGCCTCTTCTCAATATCTAAAATGAGCATATAATTGTTACCATAAAACAGTTATGTATTTTTCTCTGACAAAGGAGAAATAAACCTTAATTTTCCTACAATATATGGAAATATATATATAAGATATATATAAATGTTCTTTCTTACTTTGAAACTCATTATCATGTAACAGTCCTGGGACCATCTTCCCCCTTTAATTTCCTAAATGATAAACTCTTATCCATACAACATAATCTTTGCTTTGCTAAGCTTAACTCATTATTTTGCACTTATTTCTACTCCCCATTATCTAATCCTATTGAGTGCTACATTCTTAAGACATGGATTATCATGGACATTAATATTTAGTAGGAGTACTCAGAAGAAAATGGAACTGAATCAACTGAATTTATTATCCAGTTTTAACTACTTCTGCTGACATAATGCTTATTCTTAAAATGCATAAGAGGATTTCAAAGAACAATAGATTTTGAAGTTCACAGTTCATGAAGATTCATCAGCTACATCTTGGATACTAACAAATAGTATTTCTGGGTTTGTCTGACAAAGCTAAGTTTCTTTCAAATGCTCTGTACTGCTTTCCATTCTGAATGGCTCTGGGGAAGACTTCTTGAAACCAAGGCTACTTCAGGTAAAAATCCTGAGCTTCCTTAGAAAGGCCAAAACCTTCAACCTGATGAGCTCACTCAAGATATTACAAGGTTCATCACAGTTCTAGTATATGCCTATTTTTCTGGCTTAGTTGTTAATAATTCTCTCCTTCACTTTTAAAGAATCTCATTTAAAGAATAAATTATATGATCATCCCTTTTATAACTTTTTAATTTTCCCTGTGGAATCCAGGGTTCTTTCTGAGGGTTCAAGAAGTCAAATTATGCTCCCACCAAGAATCACTGTAAAGGCCTCCAGTAACACTGTCAAAATAAGTTAAACCAAACCCAACTGCTATCACTCCCTTCGAAATAGCTTATATCTTCTCTGGCATATTTTCCTTCTGATGGAGAACCTTGTCTGAACTGACACACTTAAGGAGAAGTGCAGGCCACCTGGAGAACAAGCATATGTTGCAATTCTAGTTCTGTTCTCTTCATTGTTCTAGCCAACACAGACTCTGCCTACCTTTCATTCCCAATATCTTCCGGAAATCCTAACTGCTCTGCCATGCCCTCTCCAGACCAAGTGGCCTATATCTCAACATCAATTCCAAGAATATTTGATCAAGTGGTATCCATATAGAAACCAAGAACTGATTAAGAGGTGTTTATGCTTAGTGAGCCTCTATTCTGTAAAGGTGCAACAGCATCTAACAAATGAATACATATTGCATATGCAGTCATGTGGGATGTAGTCATTTCAAGCACTGTGAATACATTTACCCATGCTTCCTCACAAGCTCATTGAGATGCTCAAGTGTGTTATGACACTTGGTCTTACTTGTCCACCATTGGATTAAGACAAACCTTTTCATTCAAGATAAATAAAGAGGAGGTATGGCTAAGAGCTGTCTTCATTCTACCCAGCATGCCTCATAACTGTGCTACACCTTTAGTCTGATTGCTCGGCCTTCATTTCCTTCGTTGCTGCTTATGACTATGGGAACTTGACTACTGTGTGCCAGATTCTTTTTCTGTTTCTGAGACAGGGTCTCACTCTGTCACGGGCTGGAGTGCAGTGGACTGCAACCACTCAGCTCACTGCAACCCCCACCTACTGGGTTCAAGCAATTCTCCTGCCTCAGCTTTCCGAGTAGCTGGGATTACAAGCACCCACCACCACATCTGGCTAATGTTTTTGTATTTTTAGTAGAGACAGGGTTTCACCATGTTGGCCAGGCTGGTCTTGAACTCCTGACTTCAAGTGATCTGCCAATCTTGGCCTCCCAAAGTGCTGGGATTACACACATGAACCACCATGCCTGGCCCCAATTCTTGATTATAACCCCAATCTTATTTTTTTCTTTATAGTGAATACATCCTAACACTGTGATATTTGGGTGTGTCAGTTAGCTACAATAGAGACAGCTGATGATAATAAAACTTATTTCCTCTGGTTAATTCCTCCTTAGAAAATGATTTGCTGATACTGTGTGCACAATATAAAGTTGGTTTTTGAATCTCAAATCCCAGACAGTTCTTCTAGTACTAGTAATGGCTCCTAAGAAAAAATCATGCATCTTAACACTATGTTTATATATCCAAGATAGTTTCTAGGAAATTAAATGGCTGCAATCAATCAATACTAGTTTTAAAATGGTTAGCAATCAGTTGGATTACTGCATAAAAAGACACAGGCAATTAAACTTTTATTGTTTTGCCATCATTATTGTAGAAATGACTCATTAACAATCTTTTTTTTTTTTTTTTTTTAGTAAAAGACCTTTGCATTTCTTACACACTCAAAAGTGGGTTAAATTCTATACTGAACCATTAGTATTGAATGTCTTGGAAGTTCTCATTCTGTCTCTTTTCCCACTGGCAATGAACTCATTTTATTTTTAATATAGTTCCCATGGTTCATTTCCTACTCTTTTTCCTACACCACTATAAAGCAATCAGTTCAAGTCTCTCTGGAAAGGACAATGTCCCAGTAAAAAAGGATAGTTAAGGGTACTTAAAACAAAATTTATATTAGATTATCATAAATGAAGTTTTATTTTTTTTTTTTTATTNATTATCATAAATGAAGTTTTATTTTTTTTTTTTTATTTTTTTTTTTGAGACGGAGTTTCTCTCTTTTTACCCAGGCTGGAGTGCAATGGCGCGATCTCGGCTTACCGCAACCTCCGCCTCCTGGGTTCAGGCAATTCTTCTGCCTCAGCCTCCCGAGTAGCTGGGATTACAGGCATGCGCCACCATGCCCAGCTAATTTTCTGTATTTTTAGTAGAGACGGGGTTTCACCATGTTGACCAGGATGGTCTCGATCTCTTGACCTTGTGATCCACCCATCTCGGCCTCCCAAAGCGCTGGGATTACAGGCGTGAGCCACCGCGCCCGGCCTATGAAGTTTTATTTTTAATAGCCTTCCAAAAAGTCCCCGTTGATAAACTTCTTCTGGTTGCAGTTTATTTTTAAATATTGTTCTACCAGCATTATTGAACAACTACTTTGAGCAGGGTATACTATATCTGGTGCAATCTGCTCCAACAGTCATTATCCTTGTTAAAAGGCAGACTTTGACAATAGTATCTAAGGGTTACATGTAAATCTAAGGTTTAAAAATAGGACCCTAATTTATAATAACCTTTGTACTTGTTTATCCTCAATCCTGAGTGATCTTGACTGGAAATGACTTCTAACCTTTTAGTTTTACATTTCCTCATATGGTACAAATCTAGAATGTATGGAAAAACAAAAAAACAAACAAACAAAAAAAACCCAACGTACCAGTGGCCTTAAAGGTTGAAGGTACAGATATGTACCAAAGATTCTCATATGAAGTGTGAATACTTGTATTCTAATACCAGGCCTCCCTGGGGGATGAACCCCTGCATTTGCTTCCCTATCAATTCCTGGGTAAGATGAGGCTCCCTGGACCATCCCACTAGAAGGGGTACAGCCTTTGCTGCCTGAAGGGACACCCATACCTGAGACTCACCCTGCCTGAGGTACAGAGCAGAAAGGGGAAGGGAGGACAGTGCAGCCAGATTTGGGTGTTACCTCGATGGCCAGTTGGAACTGCTCATGCTCCCGCTGTAGCTGCTCTGCTTCCGACAAAGAGCTGGCATTGACCAGGCTGGCGTTGAGCATTGACTCACCATTGCGGATCCATCCCAGGACCTAGGGAGTTGGGACAAGCACACAGGTGAATGGCCTTCCACAGCTTCCCCAGAGCTGTTGCCTCCTTTCAAGGGGACTTCAGTCAGAGACAGCATACTATCTTTTATCTTCTGTTGGAGAGAGACAGGGAGGGTCTCCACAATTAAAATGGTAATCTCCCCAATCTTACTGAGCACCTGTGCCATAAAGTACTTATTTTTTGTGCCAGCTTCATTCCCAGCTCCACATCACCCCTCTGTCCCAATTTCCTTACCCACTTAGTTTAAACATTACTTAACCTGGTTGTACTGTATGCATGTCTAAACTTCTTTCTGGAACACAGAAGGGTATAAATAAATAAATTCCATCTGTTGGTATCCTTTTCTTTTTTATGAGGTCCAGTTCAAGTAACAACAACTCATTTGTTGTTACAAATCTTTACAATCTCTTCTTGGTCTAGTGCAAGCATATCATTTTGTATGTACCATCTTTATGGTATTCACCACAGACTTCCTGGTTCTGTTATTTCAACCTATGTTTCATCTCCCCTGAGAACACAAATTTCCTGAAATCTGGGGCAATATATTAGTCATATTTTAGTCTCACAGTACCTGGCACATACTTTGCATATGATGGGTGTTGTATAGTAATGTTTTTGAAGTAATGGCGAATACTCAGGTCACACCTGAGCAGTGAGTCTGATTTCCTCTACCTTGCAAAATAACCAAGAGTAGGCAGGTTTGAATTTCAGTAGGTAAATAACCCCCCAAAAAAAGAAAAGACAAAGAAAAGCAAAATAACAGGAATAACCCATATTCTGGATCAGAAAAAGGGGAGTAAGCTGACTTAAATTATTTAGAGGCCATGGGTAGGCTGAATACAACTTCTATATGATGTTAACATGCACTGGGAGAAAGAAAACTCAACAAGGGATTATTAGGATAGAAGAAGAAACAGCTGACACTGTCTAGACAGTTCTAGGTGAAATGGGGATGTGGCAATTATCCAGCTAATTAAGTCAGAGCAAATAATGCAACTGGAAGAGTTAGGCTCTGAAAACCTACCTGGTGTCTGGTCACCAGAACATTGTCAAATACTTTATTTATTAGGGAGTCTGAGAGTTTGCCTAAAGAAGAAATAAAAGCTATTCTGAAATTTCAAGATCAGTAAATACCACCCATATGTCACCTCATGCCAAAGGGGAAGACATCATGATGTGTTTCAGATTTGCTTTCAGATTTTCCTCTCCTCTGCTTCTTCACATTAAACAATTAGAAAATACCAAGCCCACTCTCGTGCTCCATAACTCATAGGCACCTCTCAAATTTCAGCTCTGGGCAAAAAATGACTCATGTCTTATTGTACATAGATAACATCAGGGCATAAATCCCACTAAAGCTGGGCTACTTGGATTGAGACATCAATTCATGGCCAGACTGGCAGATTGTAGATGAAATGCCAATCCGTAAAGCAATTAGTTACAAGAAATAACTGCTCTGAGTGTTCACATGAAATCCCTGTTGACACTGGTGGACTGTGGATGGCTGGCTAGAGGTGCTAATGTCTTTGAAAAGTTGCCTGTAACTTTGGGCACACGCATTCATAGACTGCATGCCCAAATGCCTCATTTCTTTGGGAAATGGAGCTCACAAGGTCCCTCTGCCATGATTCATTGCATTTTGTTTGGTCTGAAGATGCATTTGAGGGTGTCAGAGAAACCATTTTTTCAAGTGCATCACATATCAATACCTATGGGACAATATGACTCCCTTTGGGCCTCTTCAGTTTTGTTAGAATATTTTTCTCTCCAGTTTCAGCCAACAGGAAACATGAGTTATAGCTCTGGTGGTGGGATCCCTATTTACCAGCTTTCCATTTAGAAATATCATGGGTTTCAGTACCTACTTTTTAAAGTACATTGCATCATTTCCTTGTTCATTTTTATTTACTAAATGCTGTTTAAAAAGGCATCCCAGGACTTTAAAGTGGGAGATTTGACTTTGGGAAGCTAAAAATGCATGGTAGTTTATATCCATGGCTTAGTTCCAGGGTGGGACTGATCCGTATGAATGAGTCAGTCCTGGAAGTAGAACTGGCATAGTAGAGAAATAACATAAAATTTGGAGTCAGATTATCTGGCTTTTTTTTACTTACCTGGCAAAATCACTTAACCCCTCTGAACCTCAGTTCTCTCATCTGTAAAATAAGGATGATTGTACCTTCCCTTTATGCATTGTAGGGTTGATGCAACAATGTGTAAAATGTAAAGTCTGATGATTATGATGGTACTGGTGGTGATTTTTAGTTTAGAGCAAAGCTGCATAATAATGTGATTATTTATACCTCTCTCAATGAGAAGAGAGATTTATTCCATGATCTGTATGAGCTTATTGGCATATTCTGATGTGATGTAGCTTCCTTAGCTGTTTTGTCATCATTATTCTTTTACTCTGATCACTGATAACCCTTGTTGGTATAATTTTCCATTACTGCTGTTTTTCACCTTCCAGGTTCATAAAACTGGCTATTCTGTGTGCATACAAATGTGTGCAAGTTAATAAATATCATAATTAAAATGAGAAAATGTTGTTTCTACTAATCTTGAGCTGTGTGACCTTGCAAACATCATTTAAGCTCCCTAAGGCTCAGTTTTCTCATCTGTAAAATGTGAACACTTTCCTTGCATAAGGCACCCTTGCATAAGGGTAAAGAGAAAAGAAAATAATTAATGTAAAGTTATTTTTCAAACCATAAAATGAATATTGACATTGAGCAATCATTTTAGGCAACAGTTTACCCAACGGGCTAGATGATCTTTAATTTCCAGCTCTAACTTCTTTCAAAATTCAAAGAGTGCCCCTACATCTATAGGGTATCCAAGAAAATCAGTTATGTAGAAATGAAGGACTGAAAGAATATCACTGCTTAGAGACTTAAGAGCTAGGCCCAAAAGAGTTCAGCTCAGTCTGAGCTTGAGGGGGGAACTGTATATGCAGATCTATTGCTTCTTCGGGCCAGGGAAGTTCAGCTAAGTCCAAGTCAGGAGACTGGATTTGAGTAAGTGGATGTGGATGTCCACAAATGGTGATGCCATTTAAGCTAAGCAGACTGAGCCTTGTAACTACGTAGGCTGGGAAGCCGCCTAGATGGCTGTGTTCTCAAGGTCATACCTACAGCAAAGCTATGAGGCTGTACTTAAGGCAACTGACTCTAAGGACCGCTATTGTAGATGATTTATCACAAGGCATAGTTGTTTCTGAAACTCTAGCCACGGGAAAAATAATCAGCTCTTCAGATGGTAGCAGGGAGCCCATCATATGTCCAGTGTTGCTTAGTTCTAAAAATCTGTGGTCCGTGAGACTGCACATGTTCATCCTTCATGGTTTTATAGAATGTGGCCATATGTCCTCTTAATTATCTCCATTTTGAAACAAAAGGATGGTACTTGTCCTGTTGGCTGCCACTCTTTTGGATCTACTACAATTTCTCTCTTTAATATTCAGTCAACAGAACTGAACATACTATTCTCCACAGGAGAATGAGAACAGGCTGATATTTTCTCCTTTGTCTTAAATGTCCATCATGATTATATGCAAATTTTGGCCAGCATTTGGTGCAAAGAAGCAAATTAAGCCAATGTCTTTAGTAATCAAATAAATATAAATTATTTCCTCATAGCTTAGAGACACAACATTTTATAAATCCATTTTAGCTTATTTTCTGCTAAATGCACTGCTTTGCAGGAATACATATGGAAGTTCATTTAGTTTTATCCTCATTAGATAGGTCTTTCAAATCTTTCTGAATTATCTAATAGATGTGAGGTCATCTTCACCAGAGTAGTTATTTTCCCGGTAGCTATCAGAGGATTCTGTGGGGTTTGGCGAGTAATCTGGCATTGTGTGGTCTAGGGATCTGCACCACGATCTATAATTATGGAGTGGTTTTCCTTCAAGGTCCACCATTTCTCTAGGGGTGTTTGACCTACCTATCTTAGATATAAAGTCCTACATAAACCCTCAGAAAGAAAATCAGTTGCTTCAATCAGTTTCATTTGTTCTGAGTCCATGAACATAATTTTTAGTTTAATATCTATGCTTTCCTGGCTTTTCAGTGCTTCAGTTTAACATAATTTTGGTAAAACTACACTTAAGGTTATGATGAGCCATGATCAAATCTAAACCTTTAATCTATGACCTCTAATGACATAGTTGTATCATAATCCATTATTGTCCTCTTCCTTTCTGCCCCCATTAATGGTATTTCAATTAAGGTGTCCTTTTTCTTTCTTTCTTTTTTGAGACTACATTCAAAAGAGACTCTCAAGCTACTAGCTAAATTTAGCCTCACTGATCAATACTGACATCTAAATTAACTCCCTTTTTCCAAGAGTCAACAGCTTCCAAATCAATATTTCCTGCTCCACCAATTTCCATCAAACACAAATGTCTTCTCTGAAACTGGATCAGAGGACTCCCTAAGGAAAGGGTCTACACTGACAAGGAAAACAAGCCTGTCTAATGAGGCATGGTGGCTTAACCAAGCAGCAGTCCCTTGGCACCTCGAGAGCCACTGCCTTTGCAAAGGGTTTGGTAGGTTTCCTGAGAATCTGATTTGAGCAATTTTGTAGTTTTGAACTACAATCCCACGGTGTGTCATTTTTGTCATGGCAGGGATAAGGAATTTTCCCGCCCCCACAGAAGAATTCCTTTTTTGTCTTCCCACTCATGAAATCATAAATGGAAAAGTATACAGATATTAGTCCACCCCAGATTATTTATATAGAGACAGTCTACTTCCCCATTTGAAAAAATACTTATCATCAGCCCAGTCTCCTCCTATACAGAATGTGTAGTTGGAGAATGAATATATTTCTATTTTAATACAAGCCAAGGAAAAGTGAATTAGGGAGTTGACTCTACCACTGACGCTGGAAAAAAATAAAAACCAAGAACAAAAGCAAATTAATATATTTCATTTCAAAGTCAAATAGGAATGATTTTTCTGTTATCTGTTTTGTTCAGATGGTCATTCCTACCACCTTCCACTGATGGAAACAACCAAGTAGGAGCAACAGAGGACTCCGATGACCTGCAGGAGCCCTGCTGACCTCAGACAGGTGCCACCTTCTCCATTAAGCTTAGGCCATGCCTGCTCCTGTCTTCTCAGAAATGGTACTGCTGAGGTCAGGAAAACCTCAGACCATTCAGTTAGAGGGATTTTTTTCTTTATTTTTAAATTTTGAATTGATAAACATAATTGTACATATTTATGAGAAACGTGATATTTTGCTACAGATATACAATGTGCAGTGCCCATTGTAACTGGGATAACTATCACCTCATTTATTTGTGTTGGAAACATTCAAATTCCTTTTTTTAGCTATTTTGAAATAAATAATAAATTGTTGTTAACTATAGTCACCCCACTGTACTATACCACACTAGAACATATTCCTCCTAACTGTAATTTTGTGTTCATTAACCAACCTCTCTTTATCCTCCCCTCCTTTCTACCCTTCTGTACATCTGATAGCCATACTCCACTATCTACTTCTAAGAGATCAACTTTTTTGGCCCCCACATGCATGTGATATTTGTCTTTCTGTGCCTGGCTCATTTCACTTCACATAATGTTGGAGGGCCTTTATTTCTCCTGGGACCACATGGTAAGAGTTGGGGCCAAAAGAGGCAAACTTTAGTACCTTGGATTTAGGAGGCCTGGGCTAAAGTTTCAGCTAACTAGTCAAGAATCCTTGGGGAGCACTGATCCTATAGTACGTTAGTTTCCTCATTTGAAAAGTAAGCATAACACCACTTCTCCCCGTGGGCATGTTCTCTTAAAATGAGATCATAAATGAGAAAGTACTTCTCACATGAACAGAAAGTCCAATCTTAACTACTAAGTTGCAGAATTTGCATACTCATTACTGTTCTGGGCCTGCTAGGATTTCCACCAAGTCCTTATGAATAACAGTTCTCTCTGGAGACTCAGATGTGATCCCAGTGTCATTAAGCAGAAACAACCTGGAGGGCAGCACCATAACCCCACCTTGCTTAAGTCTCATGAATTTAATCTGTGCTGAATACAGATCTTTAGCATGGCGAGGGTGGGCTGTGACTCAGCACTGATTGGAAGAGATGGGGAGTGGAGAAAATAGTTTTTTTTCATTATAATAAACAACAATATGATAACTAAGACATAGGAATTAAATCAAGGAATATTCTTACTATAAGGAATCAAGCAACAATTAAACAAAATAAAATGTTTTTGGCCCTCATGCTAAATCAATAGGCTTAACTCTAAAAGTTCCAGCATGGAGAGGTATGGTTTTCTAAAGAAAAAAGGTAAAAGCTCTAGCAGCTGGTATAGACAAGAAAAAAAAAATATTTAAAGGAAAGATGTTTCTCTGCTTAGGATGGTAGGGTGCGGCAGAAAGGGGCAACCACAGGAGTGATGTGGTGCCTGCCCTGCTGGGAAGCCCTCCGGGACCCATGGAGAGTAGTGGTGTGCCCTCTCCTCAGGGTGACCATGGTCTGCTGACCTCCTAAGCTTCAGTGGCCTAATCTATAAAATGGGAATAAGGTCTACTTCAGAGGACAGTTGTGAAGACTAATGAAGATGTGTATAACAGGCCCACAGCACTCAACAAAATGGAACTATTATTATAATTTTACTTCTTTAATGCACCCTCCCACATTGTCCAAATAGTAATTAAAACAATTACCACTTAGTCTGTTCTTAATATGTGTACTTTTTGTGTTTTTTTGAAACAGGATCTTTCACTGTCATCTAGGCTGGAGTGCAGTGACATGATCATAGCCCACTGCATCTTCAAACTACTGGACTCAAGAGTTCCTTCTACCTTAGTCTCCCAATTAGCTGGGACCAGGAGCATGCACCACCACATTCAGCTAATACTGAAAATTTTTTGTGGGGTCTTATCATGTTGTCTAGGTTGGTCTCAAATTCCTGGCCTCAAGTGATTCTCTTGCTTTGGCCTCCCAAAGTGTAGGGATTACAGGCATGAGCCATCACGCCTGGCCTGCTTGGTCATTGTGTGTATGTTCCCACAGGTTCCTAGAGATCTAGGTATGTCTTTGGATAAAATGCCTAGCATAATGCTTTATGCAGATAAGTTATTTTTTCTTTTTGAAATCAACTTTAATATGGTGAGAAAACTTTCCTACAATATTCATAAACACTTTGGAAACAGTGATGATAATTGCTACTAGTTATTGAATATTAACTATGTGTCAGGCACACAGGTGCCCCAAATTAATTAGCCTGACTCTATATCCTAAATATGTTTATTGATAAATGATTTGTATATTTCCCATGGACTGCTTGACAGGATTGAGGACAGAAAGAAAGAATAGATTCGGTGACTGAGGATGACTCTGGAATGGATTGTTATATAACAGATAAATCATGCATTTGTTCTTTGGGCCATTGCATCATTGGGTCTATTTGTTACTGCAGCCAAGCTTTCGGAAACTAATACAAGCAGTCCTTAATTTACCTATTTTTGAAGTGTTGTTTACTTAAAGGGGGACCAGTCGCTCTATATGCCTTACCTCATACCAGGAGTAGGTCCAAGGTCAGGCTCAGCTGGCTGAGAAACCCATGCTGAAGGAAGAAGGCCTGGGCTTACCTGTTTGACTTCAGCCTGGAGGTGCCGTAATTGGAGGCACTGCTCTAGCCGCTTATGAGTTTGCTCCGCATTGAGCTCCAATTCATGCTGCTTCTCATGGAGAAATTCCAGTAACTCTTGTACCTGGGCTGCCAGATCAATGTCTTTCTCACAGATCAACTCAATTCCTGATTTAAAAAATGTAAACAATTAAAAACCAGCTAGTACCATGAAGGCTACATTTCCTTCGATATGCATAAGAAAACTGGAATTTGGAAACAGCCTTTATTCATACCCTCCCAAACTCTAAACATTCCTCTGTGAAACTGGGTACCACAATAGGCCCTTGTTTGGGATGCTAAGATTATGACATCTCTTTTGTATTAACTAATCCTTTGCTTGAGAATTCCTTTTCAACAGATGATCAGTTTCTTATTATCAACAGAAATTAGAGTTATCTAGAGGTTCATCCCTAGACATGACAGCACCCAGCAATTCCTACTGGGGGATTTGCCAACACCCAGAATATTCACAAACAAGCCTCTAAATCATATCGGAAAACAGAAAACCAAACCAAAAGACTGTCTCAGTACTTCTGCCAACAACACACTTTTTTTAGCTGGTCAAATATAATTTATCATTAGATGGTAAGTTCATTCCAATGAGAGTAGATGCACAATAGTGATTTTTTAAAAATTCCTTTTAAATTCCCTGCAAGTGTTGTACAGGTACAGTGGTGATTTTATTAGCCAACTACTTAGGTCCTCTAAAAAAGGAATTGTTAGAAATATATGCTAGCTCTCATATATTATTTATAAAGCTCAGACAAACACACCTAATAAATACAACCCAGCAATGCCACAGGGATAATGAGAGCTTATTCATTAAAAAAAAAGCTTCATGTTAAAGTTGTGCCCACACAAGGAGAGTTTGCTCATTGTTTTTCTACTGATTTATAATTAGTAAGCTCAGTCAGTCACTGACAGGTGTTCCTAATGTTTATGTATAAACACCCAACATTAATAAACTGTCAACCAACTAACCTACAATGGGAGCCTTGAGTCAATGCATGCCAGCCAGAAGCTGTGGCCCCGCTCCTTGTTTACCTCCTTGTCTTACTTTTCCTATATACTTTTCCCAATTCATGAGCACAGGTGCACACACACACTTCCTCTCTTCACCATGCCAGTTCTCCTATTTATACATTATCACCAGCAGGCCTAAGGTAGGCTTCATCAAATGAATTTCTGCCTCAGAAATAAACAAACTCTGAGTGAGAGCAAAGGACTACTTTAGTAGTCAAAGTCATTCTCTTCACTAGTAACTTGAATTTGATTTCTTACTTGGCTCTCAAAAACTACATGAAAAGTATACTAGCTTTGATTCCTTACTTGGCTCTCAAAGACTACATGAAAGTGTACTAGCTTTGGAACAGTCCTGAGTTGGAATCCTGACCTTGGGCAAGCTACCTAGACTCTCAGAAGCCTCATTTTTCTCATATGTAAAATATGAATTTACATACCTACCTACCTCATAAGCTACCTACCCCCTAAACTTGTGGGATTAAATGAGATGATTCATGTAAAGTATCTCACATACACACATGCTACTGTGTATACGTGGCACACAATAAATATAGATCATTGTTCCTCAGACCTGTGGCTTTCCTGACTCCTGACTCTCACCTTAAACTTTCAACTTTCTGCCTTCTTACATTCATACCCTCTCTGTTTCTAACTCTCTCCAACTTGTTGCAAGTTGTGACCCATGTTGTTTCTTGATTTGGATTGTCTACATATTTCTTATGCAGCCTTGCTTAGAACCTTAGCTCTGGGAAAGTTCTAACTCTGGACTGCTTGCTTATTCTGATCCCTGAGTCCACCTGTCTCTGCAACTTCTTAGTTCTGTCCAAGTCCTTTCCCTGGCTCCTCATCCAACAATCTAGACCCAATGCAGCTTTGGTCCTGATGCTGACACTTTGTCTGAGATGCTGAAGAACAAGATCCCAACCAATGATGGGGTTCAGACTCAAAAGTCCAGCAGATAAGTCACCAAAAAGGTAATGTACTTCCATGCGGAGCCTGCCAATCTCAATATATGGCTACCTAAAAAATAAATCCCCTTTAGGAGATTTCTTCATCACTCTCACATCATCAGAAATCCATCACTGCCACCACCAACACACCTGCAGCATATAGTCGGGGGAGTATAAGGAAAGTCTGCACATGCTAAGGGAAATTCATCTCTGGAGGCAAAAATAGTGTTTTATATAAGGACAATATGGGAGAGTGGGAACACTTTTTTTTTTTCTGGTGTTACATGGTAATAATTTCAGTATCTTTTCATGTTTATTTTTTGTGTCTGTTTCATAATTCCAAGTCCCAGCTCCTGAAATATCTGTGGGAGACAGAAAAGAACGGCTTGTTCTTTTGGCAGCCAACTCCTTCCAGTTACTATTTTCAATTACCAAGGGGATGAGGTACAGCATCGCCTTGACTGAAATAGAAAGTAGGAATGCAAAAATTTCTACCTCTGCAGTGCTTGGCATAGTAGGATGACCCCTGGCCCTTATCTTTGCTTTCTGGAAATGCAATTTAAGATCCATCTACAGAAGCAGACGCTCTTCCTCACTTCCAGTCTCAGTGTGGATTTGTTGTAGCTCATATTCATTCTGCATGTGTCTCTGGTGTTCAGGATGCTGGGCTTGAGCAAAATGTCTTTCTAAGTGAGCCTCATGGCTCACCTCTGCCACACTATGTTACTTATCAAAGAGGATAGCCACCTACTCAGGACGTCATCCAGGGCAGGCTCCCAGCATGTCCTGAGAATCAGTCCCTGCATTTTCATCCATCTCATTTGGTGTTGTTTTATGTGAGATGAACATAGGAAATAAAATGGATGAAGACAATGCTTATTGCATCTCTGCACTCCTTAGGAACACATCATGTTGTGGACCGAGTAAATGCAAGGAATGTGAAGATTTATTCCAGCCACACCTAGAAGAATAGAAATTATCCCCTCTCCCACTGCCCCAAACACACTGACACGAGTCCCAATTAAAGCCCATCAAATGGTAAGTATCTGTCAATCAGCAGCAGGCAGAGTTTCCTTGTGTTGACATTACCACTCTCAATCTAATGATATATCTATTTCTTTTTCTTAGAGGCTCTCAGGCATGCGAAAAGACATGTTTCCTCTTTCCATCAAGTAGTGGACATATTTGTGATGAAATCGCTTGTCAGGCTCTTCTTAAAAAGTTCTATTCAGACTTCTTTCTGTTGTGCCCCCACAATTTCCTGTGCCCATACCACAATCAGAACACTTCCATTGAGGTTAGTTCCTTATTAACTTGTCCATGTTGTCCCAGGAATGCTGGACTTCTGATGCCAGGGCCATGTCAGTCTTATCCATCTCTGCCTCTTTAAGCCTTAGCACAATGCTTCACTCATATCACCCAATAAAAACCTAGTCAATGAACAAATGAGCCTCTTCAGAGAACTAAGGTCATATGCTGTGGTGGAAAGTACCTAAGAGATTGGGGGAAGAACAGGCTTAGGTTTGCTCTGCACGCTGTGAATGGTGAGACTCTGGGCTCCTTCCCCTCTCTGAGCCTGAGTTTCCTTGTCTGTAAAATGGAAATCACAATGAGGACTTTTCAGGATGTTGTGAGAACTATGTGAGATTTAATGTATACAGTGCCTAACATCCAGCAGGCTCAAATATTCATTTTCTCACTTTTTCCTCTCCCTCAGAGAAATTATAATGAATACACTTTGATTGCTGATGGAACTACTGAATGGCTTGTACAAAATGTAAATATAAAATCTTACTGACAGGTGTTTATGTACTCGCCTAATGTATATCATTGGAAACGATATGCTGTTAGACTAATTCTCTCAACTCTGGCTCACATTAGATTCAGCTGGATAATTTTTTTTTTCTTTGAGACTGAGTTTCGCTGTGTCACCCAGGCTGGAGTGCAGTGGTGCGATCTCGGCTCACTGCAACCTCTGCCTCCCAGGTTCAAGCGACTCTCCTGCCTTAGCCTCCCAAGTATCAGCTGGAGAATTTTTTAAAAATCGCCATGTCCTGACCACACCCCAGACCAATAACATCAGAATCTCCGTGGCTGGGACCCAGCCATTAGTAAGTCTTAAAGCTCCAGGGGTGATTCCAACATGGAACCAAGATTATGAATCACTGGATAAGATGGTACGATGGCCAGAAACATGGGAAAACAAATATACCTTCTGCTACACTCAGCAGAATGCTCTGCATTGCTGTTTGTTTAGGACTAAAAGTCACAGCTAACAATAAGCATTAGTTTGCTTTCCTTTGTTGCCAGATGGGGGTACCATTTTAATTTCCTCAAGGAGAGAGGTGACTGTGGTCTAGAGTAAGATTTAGATATTTCTGGCTATGCCGCCCATACTTGTAACATGTTTCCAAAAACTGTGTTCTTTAACTATCGGTATCTGCCTTGGATACAGAACATCTTCTTTTCTCTTTTCTCCTCCTCTCTGCATTCCTCTTTCTGTGTCACTACCTCTACCTAACAGTTCAGAAATCACAAAGTCCTTTAATGAGGTTTTTAGATCAGTGTTCTCAACTCTGGTTGTACCTTAAAATCACTTGGAAAGTTTAAAAAAATCTGGGCCCACTCCAGACCAATTAACTAAGACTCTCTAAGGGATGGGGCCCAGGCACTGGTATTTTTAAGAATCCCCAGGTGATTCTCAATCTACAGCCAGGTTAAGGATCATTGTTTTACATCAAGGCTGCTTCTTCCCCTCCTCTTAGCCCTCTAAGATCCACATTCCTATTAACCCCAGAGTAGCTTCCATTTGGG